CGAAAATAAATGGAATTTTACACCCAGTGAAAAAAAAACCGCTATACGGTACTAGGTGCAAATATAAGTTACAGGTCTAAGGTCATACGGGCCAAAAGGCCTGTTGGGACAACTCATGATTTGTCTTCGCCAAAGGTCTAAAGAGTCGTACATGCCTACCTTCCTCCAATTTTTCAAAGTATGTCACATATTTCCTTCTGCAATTCTTTTTTACAAACTAAGTGTAAATGATAGTGGGACAACTCATGGTTTGTCTTCACCAGTAGGTCCAAACTTAGGTATATAGAGTCTTAGATACCTACCCCAATTTTTCATTGTCTGTCAAAAATTCCCAACGGCAATACTTTTACACACACTAGGTGCAAATGATAGTTTAATGTATAATGCATTGTTCTTAAAGGCTAAGATTTGACAACTCATAGTTTTTCTTCACCTTAGAACCAAATTTAAATCTAAAGAGTCCTAGATACCTACCCACTTTCCACCCCAATCTTTCACAGTCTGTCAAAAAATCCCTACTGCTATCCTTCTTTTCACACTAGATTCAAATTAAAGGTAAAGATCTTAGATCAAATCTGCCAAAAGGCCCAGGGCGGACAACTCATGGTTTGTCCTCACCAAATATCCAAAATTATATCTAAAGAGTCTTAGATGCCTATCCCTAAGTCTTTCAAAAAATCCCTACGGCAATACTTTTTTACACCTAAGGGTGTAAATGATAGGCAAATGTCCATGATATATCTTTACCAGACAAAAGCATCGCTATGTTAGGATGTAATACAAAAATTGTCCGTTTATTTGAACAAAATCATGTCAGTGTAAAATATATAACTGCACGAAGGGAATACCGTGTTAAAGGGTAAAAAAATTATAAGTGTCAATTTTTAAAAATTAGAGATCAAGTAAAATTTCGTTTAATAAACAGCCTCCGAAATACTTTATGTAACATTTTTACCATCGTGACATTTTATTGGAAACGGGATAACACACGATGTTTTTATAGTAAGTCCGCAGTTATATATTGATGATTTCAAATACATTATGTAGGGCATGTATAAAATTTCTGATATCATTAAAAGCCACTTACATCTGTTATATCCTACATGTATAATAGTGAATGCAATAAGTTTTTATAGGAGCTGAGCAGCTAAAAGGGACATTTTGTCTCTTCCTTATCTGATCGCTTCTTACAATCTTTTTTCACTTATAGTTCAAAAACGTGTATGACACGATTTTTCGTTAAAAGTACACAAACCTGTTGTAAAATTTTATCGCATTCTGATTTTAATGACGCACACAAAACATGTTTAAATTCAATTCGTTTTAATTTGGCAGCATCAACATTTTCAACCTCTTCATCAACATGTCTGCGACAACTAAATTATCTATTACCAATTTTTTTATAATTTGTTATCGTATAGATACTAAAATCTATTTGTGAATGTTTAGCAAGCAACACAAATTCTTCTTTCTTTAGTTTATCAAACCCTTCGCAGGGACGTTAAGGGCGTTTCAAGAAATATCCCATTTTTATACACAGGAAAAATCATATTGAACTCAAAGTTAGTTTTCTTTGCTTAAAGGTTAAAATGCACGTCAAAAGCGTAAACAGAGGGAAAAGGGTCTATTCTGAATCACATTCCAAACTTTTATTTATAGAAAAATATAAATACACTAGTGTCACGTGACTTCAAACTGAAAGTAAGGACATTTCCTAAAAAAGTCAAAAGGGCAGGTGCAAGATGAAATCCGATCGCCCTGGTTTTTGGCTCCCTGTAATCAGGATAACTTATTTTACTGGAAAAGTGCTGTGCCTAGTTTTTAATAGAAGTGTTGTAAATAAAAAACAATAAAACGTGGAGAATTTTTTCGATTTATTGACTTTTTGGCACTTCGGGTTGTGAAATATCTTTTACACGAACGCTATATAACTAGGCACAGCACTTTTTGAAAAATTTGAAATGTGGCCTTTCTACCAATACCAGAATCAAGTGGGTTGGTATAGCTCTTGCACCTGCCCTTTTCAATTAATTTAGCATGAAGTAGCATTATCGCCTTGAAATGCGAGAGAAAAACGTTTGAATGACCCTTGAGTAGTCGGATCGGCTGACGGAAAAACTCAGTGTATTTGTTGTACTCACCGTGAAGCGTTTCATATAATAATAACGTCATGTTGGAGCGAATAAACAAATATTCTCTTATTGCTTGCTTAATTTATTAAAGCTTCCTATTCCGTATTGGTTTTTTTCAGGGAATTTTCATCGTGACAGGCTGGACTTTCATAAAATAGAATATTTACATCTTCTTGCATTCCGCTTCTTGTGTATATCACCGCAAATGGCTGAAATGGCAGAGGCGGATTCATGTGGGCTCTGATCCCTTGTGTATCAACCAATTTATGGTTAATGTATACACTTCTTATATGTCCATAACTTCGATTAGTGTTGGGACACGCAGCCCCCCCCCCCCCCCTTTTTTTGTCAAAATCCGGAATCCGCATCTGGGTTCATAGTGCAGTTCTCATTTTTGCAAATGCAAGTTCATTGTATAATTAATAGTATACTATAAAGTCTCTTCTAGTGCTTGCATATTGGGAACCGTTAAAATTTTAATGAAAAAAGTTGCATTTTCATACAGAACTTTATACCAAAATTCGTGATTTTTTTTGTTTGCTCTTTGTCATTGACAATGTTTAAATCATAAATATTAACTCCTACCTGCATATAAATATTCATATTTTACTAGTTGAATATCTCCTGTATCTCAAGTGTGACTGGTATCAATTTGTAAATCATGATTGGGAGGTCTTTTTGAATTTTATTCTGGTGGGGTAGGGTAATTTTTTTGCCTATGAATGAATATGAATTTTCACCAGTTACCAGGCCAGTATTTTGTATGGCTTGCTTTTTTTTATACAAAAAAGCTACGGCATTGAGTACCCCATACTTCAAAAAAATGTACCTTGAGCTCTCATTATTTATGCTTACACTATATCATAAAGCGATAACCAGTTCGACAAATATCGGATGCATATATATACACGACTAATTTTAATCGCATCTGTATAAAAAACCCACTTCCAATTAGTTTCAGATACATGTACATGTACCTATGATTCAATCAACAACCTTGTCATATATATTATCTCAATTTCTCAACCTTATAGTTTACATTTAATTTTATACTATCAAGTTGGAAATAGTGACCTATTTTTTTATGCTGCTCATTTCATATTAAATCCCTGCCTAACAGTGTTCACCAATACAAATGGACAGCCAAAAGTGCTTACATGACATTCAGAACAATCAATCAATTGTTTTTTCATTATCAAGTGCCATAATATTTTAAGGTTCATCTCAAACATGTCAAAATCAGAAAACTTATTTCCCATCACCTGCTGAGATTGGAGGCAACTGAACATGCTGAATGGTATTTCTTTTCTGTCAGAATAAAAGAAATTCTATGTACCATATATAATATAAATACACAGAAATGACTAACTCAATCACAATTAATACATATATACACAATCCAAAAGTTTCAGGAAGTGTCAGGTGAATTAATCATGACATAGCGGACAGGACAAACTAGTCAGCATGGAAATTAAAATGATGTGTAAATGCTTATAAAACTACTGCCTACAAATATCATTGACAAGGGTACAATCAGTGGTTGATATTTACCTGAACCAATCACAAGAGTAAAAAAATTACTTAATTGTAAATCAAAACTTCATTGGCAATTATACCAGATCATCTTTTTTTATATCAAATTCTAGCTGTAATACAAAAATATGTGTGCAATTTCAAACTGAGAACAAAGCAATTTCTGTCTGTTTTGGGGATGCTGTCTCATTGCCATACATGTATACCCAACATCTTTTGCTAAACATGGTAGATATAAGAATCTCTAAAACTGTGAAAATATTCCATCACAAGTTTCCAAGTTTATATATCCTTCAAAAAGAGTCAGAATTTTTTGAGTAAATTTATTCCCAAGATAATTTTAATTATTGAACAATGTAAGGACAATTAAAAATGCGAGATTAATTATTGCAGTTTCAGAAAATCCTGGATACAAATAATACCATCATTTAAATAAATTTATATTTTTTTTTGCCAAACGTATATAATTGTATAACCTATTTTAATTTAGACAAGAAATGAAAAAAAATTCTGATTTCTAAGTATAGACAAATATATAAGTAAAGATAATATTTTTGTTCAAACATTCTGTGGCTGTTACAGAGGTCTTGTTCAGTATTGAAGGCCAACATCAATATGACTAAGTCAATTTAAGATGAACAACAACTGCAATTAAAACACTTTTTTATGCTTCTGAACTTTTTGTATACCTTTATTCTGTGTTAACTGTTATGAAATGAAATGAAATTGAAATATAAATCATGATATAATATGATCTTCTTGTTCTCTGGTCATGCTGGTGGACAATATATAATATGACTATTTGTTCTCTGATGAAGAGTTGTTAATTTATTGGCAATCATATGTCATATTCTTAGTTTTATAATTACATGTAACTCCATTAGTGGTGCATCAGTGAATTGTATGCCTACATGTATATGATAGTATATCTCATGTATATCTAGGTAAGATTAATGTTTAAATCAATTGCTATTTTTTCCCTGTAATTGCCATAAAAATAACAAAACACTCATATAAGTCTTATAAATGAATATCTCCTTCTTTACAGTTCAACTGAATATCATATGTCTATTTTTAGATCTCTCACTTGGTCAGATACAAATGTATTGCAGATTTTTCAAATATTTCATGAAAGAAACGACAAATTACATCCATGAAATATAATTTTGTTAAATGAAATCCTTTTTTGAAACTCCAATTGTAAGAAAATTCACAAATCTCCAAACTGTCCGTATTTAGAATTCATTTTAACTGAGGTAAAAGCTCTTTAAGATGGTAAACATCAACTTCAGTGATACATGATGATGAAAAAGAAGCTAAATTGTCTGCTTAATTTTCCTCTGTCTCTCAGCATCAAAACACTAAATTCCAATTCATTTGGTCTTGAAACGGTCAATGCTTCTGCTTAGTACATATATGTACATTATATAGAATTGCTGTCTTTTTTCTACTTTTCATGGACATATTTGGTGGCTTTCTAAACAAATTTTAATCAGATCTGCTGTAATGGCCATGATGAGTTATAAGGAACTTTCTACTGCAGGTCATCATCCCTGAAATATGAAAAAGCAAATATAATATATTAAATGAAATTTTCAACATGTGAAAAGTAATCAACAGTTAGTGCAAACATGTTTCTTCAAGAAGTTACTGTTAAAATGCTAACAAAATAATTTCCTTGTCCTTATTTAATAATAAAATTGAGAATGGAAATGGGGAATGTGTCAAAGAGACAACAACCCAACCATAGAGCAGACAACAGCCGAAGGCCACCAATGGGTCTTCAATGCAGCGAGAAACTCCTGCACCCGGAGGCGTCCTTCAGCTGGCCCCTAAACAAATATGTATACTAGTTCAGTGATAATGGACGTCATACTAAACTCCAAATTATACACAAGAAACTAAAATTAAAAATGATACAAGACTAACAAAGGCCAGAGGCTCCTGACTTGGGACAGGCGCAAAAAATGCGGCGTGGTTAAACATGTTTTTTGAGATCTCAACCCTCCCCCTATACCTCTAGCCAATGTAAAAAAAACAAACGTACAACAATAATGTCTTCATTCATCATTTGAACAAGGATTTAATTTTCCACACACATTTTAATAAGGTGCACTACATGTACTTTTATAAAGCTTTAAAGTTAAATGAAAAATAAACTTTTATCACAGAGATATGTCTCGCCTTTTTGTAATTTTGATAATGCAAATGTTGAAATTAAAATAGCAATACCTTAACATGTAAGTTATGCAAATATTCAAAGTCGATGAACCATGACTGAAGGTACATGGCTAAACAATCTCCATAGAATGAGATGTGCCAATGCTAATACAACTGCATACCAAATATCATTGACCTACCACCATGAACTAGACCTAATCACAAACTAATACATTGTTGTCGCCGCCGTCGCCAGCATACCTATGTCTCGCTTTTTGACTCCGTCAAGGCGAGACAAAAACCCAGATGTGCCTATAAGATGTATTATGTAATAAATATTTAAATTGATGTATTTATGTTAATTTACTTTGTTTTGTATCTCCTTTTAAGACAGGAATACTTCAATATCAATATCAGTAATCCACAGCTAAAAACAATTTGCTAGCAAGTTCAGTATATTATTGTATTAATATCTGTCATGTCTGTGTAAATAAATTTTATTGCTGGTACAGATACTTCATTAACATTGATTAAATTAAGAAATTATCATGATTATTGGGTACATTTATTTTTGCAATTTTTGAAGAATGGACAAAAATGTGAGATTTATAATTGCGATTTCAGAAAAATCTGCATACTTGTACAGTTATATGTATAGATTTCGGAATGTGAGTTCCTTTTATTGCGATATTCAAAGTTGCCTCATAAAAACATTGCAATAATTTCTGAGTTTACATCATACAATATTCTTACAATGTACATGATGTAAGAACAGAAATTTATTTGCACAAATTATAAAACAGGAAGAAAAGCCAGGCTCGCTAACATGTTTAACCCATCCACATTCTGTATGTACAATGTATGTTCCTGGAATTCAGTGGTTGTCGTTTGTTGCTGTGTTACATATTTCTTTTTCATTCATTTTTGATTACATCAATTAGACCATTAATTTTCTCCTTTGAAATGTTTTACATTTGTGATTGGGGCCTTTAGTAGCCAAATATGCAGAATGGGCTTTACTCATTGTAGAAGGCCATTCAAAGACCCATAGTTGTTAAGGTCTGTGTCATTTGGACTCTTGGGGAGAGTTGTCTCATTGTACAATAGTTAGCTGATATCAGGATAAAACAATTTACCTGTCTATAATAATAAAGCTCTCCAAATCAAACCATTACTTTATTTCATCAAAGCTGGAATGGCATACTGTATCTTGTAATTGACAGGGGAGCTAAAAAAAATAAGAGAAAGTAATTATTTAATTACATATAGGTACTTTTTTTAAAATAAGGAGCATAAACATATATATAATGATTCATATAATTTTTAAAATAAAGAAATTACGTCTGCCACACAACCCTAATTTGATATCAGGATTTCCTCCATAGATATATAAATGCCTATTTTTACTTGGATTTCTAGAATTGCTGCATCCTATGCTAAATAAAGAGCTGTGCTAAAAAAAAGCCAGCCCCCCCCCCCCCCAAAAAAAAAATATAAAACAAAAAAATGAATCTGTGAGCTACTAATATACCCCCATACCCTTAAAGTAAAAGGTTGTTGAGTGATGAATCTGAAAAAGCATCACACGGTATAGATGACACATATAAACCCTGAAACCAAATTTTAGAAATCCTTGTAATGTTCCTGAGAAAGATGCAAAGAAAAATATTCATGGGACGGACGGACTGACTGACTTGAGGATGTACAGACAGAAGTAAAACAGTATACCCACCCCCACTTTTTTAAAGACTAAAAGTGGGGGTTTTAAAAATTAAAAATAAAAAACTTGCGCACAGTGGCACAATTCATGAATAATTCTTATGAATCAAATCCCATAACTGGAATAAGTAAAATTTAAAATATATTAAAAATCGTAAGGGAGCTTACGTTACATTTCAGCAAGTTTCATGAACAATGATGAAAATGTGTTTAAGCGTTTTTGAGACATTGTCCAAAAAACGCGATAATTTCGACCCGTTAATATGAATAAAGTCCCTATACTACAAAACCAGGTATCAAAAATATCTAATAGAAATGGAAAGGAAACTTATGTCAATAAATTTAAACAATTCACCAAAGTTTCAGGAAGATTGGTGAAAGCTGTTTTGAGTTATCATCTGAATGATTCATCAGCAAGGCATTGCTCCAAATAAAAATATATTTTTTTCAAATATGTGTGATAGCTGTTATTTAATTTATGATTATCAATTTTTGTTTAATTTGTGTTCATGGTGTCTGGTTCATTTTAACCGTTACGCTAGTTGGTGCATAACACTTGTACATGTCGTTATTTTTTTTTCTCAGCGGTTGGTGGGAGACTTACTTTCAGAGCAATAAGAATATGAGACCCCCCTTAATCTATGGGTTCCTACAGAGCTGTGGCCTTTTCCTTTTATAAATTGATTATGTGATTTGCGTACATTAGTGATTCCACAAACTGGTCTGTTGTCACAGAATAAACAACTTTTTTACAAATGGGGCTTTTTTCTGCCTCTCTGACTAGTGCTCTCCCAAAGAAAATTTTATAAATGGGTCCTTTCTGTTTACCAGGGATATATCTTCGAGTAATGGATTTAATTCCTGCCAACAGGGATACAGTTCAGATATTTTATGTAATACTCTATTTTTAGAACGATGATGCATGCAGTGTTCTATTCAATATAAATACTGTTTTACTTATATATATATATGTAGGACTCTAAAGTGAGATGGGGACGCTGAAATGCGATGGTCACGCAAAAGTGAGATGGTTTGATACGCTAAAGTGCGATAGTCTGTGCTATTTAATGGAACACGCTAAAGTCTGATGCCGCGATACGATAAAGTGCGTTTGTTCGCGAAAGTATAAACGTTTGCAACGTTAAATCGTATTATGACGCTACAAGCCGTTTGTACAAACAAACGCTGTGTCTGCGGGGAAAAAAATGATTCTGTCAGTATACTGGAAAAAAAAAACTTTTCATAAACAAAGACTGAAACTGACATAAAAGAGAGAGAAAATGGCAAAATACACCAAGTGTCAAAGTATTTATGTCATTTACTGGAAAAGCATATAGCTCTTCAACTGTTTTGGTACTTATACATCCTCGGATTTCAAATGTTTGGCTTTGAGCGTTCCTGATGAAGGTAAATCCAGAAAAGCACATCGGACGCATGAAATTATTAAACGTTTTGTTTTCAATTATTTTACTTGCGTGAAATAAAAGCTACTTTTTAACTTTCTAATTGAATTATTTTGTAAAAACAATTTTTTAAAATATGGTTCGTCATGCCTGTAAAAGAGATGGATACTCGTCAACAAGACAGTAACATAATGACCAGAGGTGTAGTATCATAACATGATTGCCAATGCGACAATTAAGTCGCTATCCAATGCTAACTCATTAATGTAATTAACTATAGAATACCGTATGGCTAACCCCGCAGATAGTATTCTATAACGACCAAAGAGTATCAAAACGACCAGTGTATAACAATTCAAACGAGAAAGATAACGGACTGATTAATATACAAAATAAACAATAAACAAAAAAACAGATAAGAAGATGTGGTGTAATTGTCAACGAACAAATATCCACCAAAGACCAAATATCGTTGATGTATGCACCTAATAACGTTATGACCTTCAATGTGGAGCCTTGGCTTACGTCGCATAGAAAGCTATACAGGTTCACGAAATGACTTGTGTAAAACATTTCAAAAGAGAATAACAACGACATGATTTAGAAACAATACAATAAACGAAAAACTAATATGAACACAGCAAAAAACAAAAACCATCGCCTGAATCCCATTCCCGTTACACCATCGCACTTTAGCGTGTCATCTGATCGCACTTTAGCGTAGATCATTGCACTTTAGCGTGACCATCACACTTTAGTCATACATATATATAAAAGATTATGTCAAAGTGGGCAGTCTTGATGAGCAAACTACATATTAATTAGTAATAATATAATTGTGTCATGAAAAGCTTCAATTTTTTGCTGCGATTCCTTCCTAATAATGACGGTCATAGGAACACGAGGAAGGCGTCCCAGTTAATCATTAACAAAGCCTTTCAAGAAATTATAATATTATTTTGACTATGTATTAAAAATTGTTCTATTTAGCCAGCAATTTAAGTACATTAACTTGCAATTGGTTATATATATATTTCTGACTTGGTAATGATTTAAAAAATACTGGTTCACTGTTCACAGATAATAAGATAATTTATTCAAGGTGCACAGGCTTTTTCCAGAGAAAGACGCACTGTCCAGGATATTTCCAAATAATTACCCAGATACTCAGCCTTCTGCAGTCATTTTTAATGGACATAAAGATGTAATCATGTTGCTGTCACCTTTTAACTTCCTTAAAAGCTTAAGTTGCATCCGATTTCAAAAAATTATTATTTATAGTACATTTAAATTTGAAGTTCTTTATCACATACATTTTTTTTTGTACATGAATTATAAATATTCAATAGAATTGCAAAACTTTTTTGACAAGCATGAGAAATAAATTGTACGACAGGAAACATGGAAATAAATAAGGGGAAACATGTAGCACGCACATCGAACAAAACACTAGATACATGTATTAAGAGGTCAAACGTCAAAACAAGAAAACAAGTGAAATAAAATATAAACACTGGGTAAATAGAAATCATTGCATAAAATAAACCCTTTACCGCCCTTTTAAATTCAAAGTTGATTAATACCAACAGCACTAAGCAGAAAATAATATAGTATGGACTTCACACTGATTAAATGGTGGGAGTAGAAGTTGGAAAGAGGGGGGGGGGGAGGTAGTCCAAATAATTATGTCTTGCAAGGCTTCCTTTTGAGCAAGTTTGTGTGCCCAGTGTTACAAATTAAGAGCTCCATGCTTTGAACGTATGGGTCATGGCTCCAGCAATGTGGGTGCCGGAGAGAGGGGAACGGTGGAACGCCCGCCCCCCCCCCCTTTTCCCCGAATGGCTAAACGAAAATTAGAAACTAATTTCAGGGTAAATGTTGAGAATGGGCTCTCGGTATAATGGAGGGATCTCGTTTCATTCGATAATCTGTTCATTTATTGACGGGATTCGATAAATTATTCAAATTTCAGATATTTGTTGCAGTCTAGTTTCGTTTTGACCACCATGACCACGTGTATATCATGCTTGCCAACACTAAACTCGTTTTTATCTATAAGTATACAGTTTTTTGATTTCTGAAGCGAATGATTAACAAAACAAGCAAAGTATGTTTCATAAATAATACATATTTGGAGGCTCACACTTACTTTTCTGGTTAGATTTTCACATAGAAGTGAAAATAATTTTCGCTGCAAGGTTCTTTCCATTCTGCAAACTACAAACATCTATTTGACGGCGATCGTCTACTGATTGGTTAATCTGCAAAAGGAGGCGGGGTCCACAAGCCGACAATCTCGTCAACAAAAACAGCTATTGCAACTGTTTGCCATAATAATTAAAGCACAAACATACAATATTCGTGTTTCGATAAACAAATTACATCATACGGATACCCGTTTTTAGTTAACAGGCATGTATGTAATTTGATTTCATACAGTTTCATCGATAGACGCAGCTTACGGAATCTTCGCCATTAATGAATATATGAATACATAATGAGGTCCTTACGGGGTTATCTGCCCCTGACAAAATCTTATCGAAATTGCCTTAACATCGCTGCGTTTCAGGTCTGGCGTTTTTACAAATTTACCGGCATGACATGCCATTTTGTAGAACCTTGTTGGCTAATTCTAATTCAAAAAAATACGGACATTTTTATTCTAATATTCACGATATCCCATACGAGCCCCCAATTTCTGTCAGGGCCAGAAATCACCTTTAAATTATAGCCAACAAAAGACACGTATCAATAATAAAATTTAACATTTTTTTTATACAATTTTACAAAAAATATTATATAAATAGAAATGTCAACTTAACTGTTAAATATAAGTCCGATGCTTTGTCTTTTTTTATCCAGAATTCTTTTTTTAGCTATAATGGAATATGTCCAATAAGTTAAGAATCTAGTATGATATAGTTAACGTACACAAAACGTGTTAATCCAACAACTCCAGTGAATCCAAGTATAGGAATGTCTGATCTGTCCAATTTCGGTTGCGGTATATATAGTTATCACGGAAACCTCTAAAAAAAACTGTAGAACGGAAACTTCTAGAATACGGTAGAAGTTAAAATTACACATCGTAGACTATGATCATTCGGGATTTATTATGTAAGTCAAATAGAAAGGTATAATCATTCCATCAGTATCTACATGTATGACTGATCTAGTGATTTCTAAACTGCACATTTATAACATTATTTTGTTAAGAACTATTTAGCAACACAAAGCAAATTAGGCCAAGGTAAATAAATATAATGATTACAATATCATAACAACACGAATTTATGCCATTAAATTGGGACCGTTAATATTATAACTGCCACTGGTTCGACACCTCTTCTGATGTACTGTTATCCCTCAAGGGTGCAATTAGCCCTGTAGCAAGTAGTTTGTTCAAGTATAAAAATACGGATATGGTGTCATTAGAATTTGCTTTTATAACATTTAGAAATCAATTTGAATTAGGAAACGTATCATGCAAAGCTCCGATTTCTTGTCCAGTTTTACTTTTGGTTCATTATCAGCTTTATCAATTCTTCCCTGTTTATTTTAGGTTCTGAATTTGTATATATTTTGGCTTTGAGCATTACGGAAGGGATATTATAAGTGAGGAGACATATAACAATGGATAATCCAAACTCATAATAGAAAATCAAAGGATATGGGGTATCCATCCGTGACACAAATTCAATCCATGCACACAAAAAAAACACACATACAGCAAAAGAACAACGTTTTTTTATTGTTGTTCTTCATCTTAAAGTCACAATAAATCGTAAGTCGAAAACAAAACTGACAATGTTATGTTGATAGATGAAAAAAAAGATAAACAAAAAACGATTTACAAACACAATATAGAAAACTTGTGACTGAGCGGCACGAAACCAACTAAAACTTTGTGTAATTTCAGTACCTCCGAAAGGGTATGCAAATCCTGTTTCACATGTGTCATCCGTCGTGTTCTCATTTAAGTACAAATCCTGTGATAAGTCTAATTTGGTATATCGCATTCGAGGAAAAGAGGACGGGTTTGTGGTTCAGATAATTCAAACATATCCGTCGTCATCTGTGAAAATTATGTAATTTCCGAAATCCCGATCTGGTGCCGAAAAATGATTACCTTAATGTTATTTGACAAATGCGTGACAAGTTGCAAAGAAGAAAAAAAGGGTATGGTTGAATACAATATAAGACAAAAGGTGTAACTTGTTATCATACAAAAATATGTAATAAAATATCGTTTTTTCAGGCCTAAAAAGTCTACTATTTTCCTCGTACGATATTTAAATCCATAGAAGTACATCTGTCTCTCTTACATTTTAGCCATTCGAGCATTTACAGTTCAAAACTCAAATGCTTTCGAAAATGTACCTAAAAGATATACAGTTGTATTTGACCTTGTTTTAACAAACCAAGGGAGAAGGTACGATTCCCATTCTGGTATATTTACTGCGGATATTTCGGGATTGTATCTATTTCTTTTCAACATAAGAGTTCGATATTACAACAAATTGTGTTATAGTGAATTTGTAAGAAACAACAATAAAGTGGTAGTAACAATGTCTATGTCAGGCACCAAGCTCCATCAACACAGCAGTGAAAGTAATTTCGGAATCATTCAGTTAGATACCGGTGACAAAGTATGGGTAAGGTCTTCGCCTTTGACATAGACATGACAAACTTGTAGGGTTGATGATGGATCATGTTTTGGAGGATTGCTGCTGAATTCTTTATGACTTTTGATAACATCAATTAGAAATTCCTGATTTTATTTATATGATTGCTACATTTTCTTATTTTCTTCTAAATATCAAGTTTCGTACTGGTTAAATATGCATATAGTACCATACAATTAACAAGATAATGCAATGCATTGTACAACTCTATTGGGATTACTGCTTTCTTTTATTTTACTATTAATTCAACACCTGTCAATTTTGAGTAACACATCCTTTTATAATCATTTTCAAAGAAACCTTAATTTCTTAAACTTGGTGATCAAAGAATGACATGATTTATAACTAAGATATATATAACTAAAGTTTACATGTATTCTCAATAAACAAATGTTGTTTAAGAGCCAGAACATAATCAAATAAAGGCATATCGATTCTGATATTAATCATTAAAAAAGGACTAATATAACTCAACTGCTTGATAGCCAGTTCAGTAGTACACATTTTAATTATCGTTATCACCTATAGGGAATGACAACTGACGAGAGTTCCTGTTAAGGGGTTAAGAATTTCTTCAGTTTCTGTGCATTTTATCATTGACATGTTTAGAATATATATAGACGCATTGTATTCAAAATATTTGACAGCAGGTATAATGACGAGACTGTTGTGATATGGATTTATTGAAAAAAGATAGTTACCTTCGCTGAAGATCCAGTTCATTGTATCAGTTTTGTTTTAAATAATGCATTATTCAAGTATATCCGCATTTTTATCCGTCGGACCACCTAAGACAACCTTCGGGTTTCGATGGTGTCTGTACATGTGTTACTCTGTCTGAGATTTTTTTAAGTAACATTTTGTAGAATATTCATTAATAAATGAATTTTGATAATAACAGCTCGTCAAGGACTAAACAATAAATTATTATGAAATTTTCAGTTTTTCAGTCATTTTTCAGACTAATCTCTTTCGGAAAATGCAGAACTGATCATAAAACTTGCTTGTAGTCAATTATGATCTGTTTAGTAGATGTTTAGACTGTCTGTTTATGGAAATTTACTTAATAGAAATAACAAATCACTGAATTTATCAAAGCTATTGACCAGTTATGGGCTGACAGCAAAACAAATATCTAAACATTACGAATTTGCAACACGAAAATATCCGAAAAAGACTTCACGTTTCAGGGTCAGTGTTTTTAGATGATATTCAGATCAAAATGGCCGTTCAAGGCAAAAATAAGATTTATGCTGGTTGTTTGTAAATTATAGGTTTTCAGTTGGAACATGACATTGTCTGTTTTCGTCGACTTTTAATTTTTTATTTCATTTTGGTGACGTCTACGGGTTTTTACTGCTCAACACACTTGTTATAAGAAACTACTAATGAATGTAAGTCTTAAAATTGCACTAACTAGCTTAGTAAACAATGACTAGTCTTACGCCTTGTGTTTACTCCTCGTCAAACATGTACATGTCCAAAACGAAATCTCAGGATATGATTTTGTCGTATTACAAGTGTGTCTACGAAGGTTGCGATTAAATTATTTCGTCAATACTTATGGTCTGTGTAATTGATGTCTAGATACATCGTTCTATTAACTATTTCCTGCAAAAATATGCAATTTTTTGTTATCATATCACTATAATGTTCCAGTCTTGACTCTTCTCTATATTATTTCACACGAATGTTTTCAATTTTGATTTACAAAATCTTCTGTTTATACCAATCTTATACTCTTCTATTGCAACATGTTCATTTATAAACTTTACGCATAAAAGGGCAACAATAATTTGAGGAAGGGTACATGTTTCAGATCAAAGGGGACATATAACACCTAATAACAGTACGCGTTAAGACATGTCTCATAAAAAGATACAATATTCAAATTCGCAAAGAAGCATGAAATTTAACATTATTAACGTACTGGCTGCAATTGAATTTAACTCGCTACAACGAAACCGCCTATATGGTCAATATTTGTTAGCTGCACGTAATAGGTAAATTAACGATAGTCAAAAATGGTGTGTGTTAGTGTATACTTTAGACTTTTATTTCTTGATGTTAAAGCAGTCTAACAAAATATTAAAAGTTTTACACCTAAAACCTCAAAGACAAAATTAAAAAATTAAGCGATATACAAACGAAAAACAATCAATACTTAGACAAATAAAAATACACGACAGGACACTCAACAGTAAACTTGAAACATGGGAAGTTTCCATAAAGCAATCCCATCCCATTTCCCTTATGTTACCTACCGAGTAAGACTTATCATCGGGCTTGTACTTATATAAGCAACACGACGGGTGTAACATGTGGAGTAGGATTAGCTTACCCTTTCGGAGCACGTGATATGATCCCCAGTTTTTGGTGGTGTTAGTGTTGCTCAGTCTTGTATATTTTGTTTTCTGGTGTACTTTTTTTTCGCCATGACGTTCTTAGTTATTTTCGATTGATGAGTTTGAATTCCCTTTGGTATCTTTCAACTCTCTTCTTCAGAAGGATTATCAATTCCTCCTCTCTGATAGTAATATCCGTCGTGAAGTTGTGTTTAAATACCAAAAAGATAACTCAGCGACAAGAACTCAAATCATAGTATGATGACTTTGACTAAACCTTAGGCTCTAAACACAATCACCATACATGAAGAATAATGTCTAAATGTAAAGTAGGAAGAGAGAAAGGTTGCAATTAATTAAGAATTAATTTAAATGGAGATAGACCAACACCGAGTAAACCACGACACGACAGATAACAATAAAGTAATGAAAAATACAACATTGAAAGCTATATCAACTGGAACTTAATTGGACACCTAAAATAAGACTCAAGTAATTTTGAATGGGAAACAGCTTTTGATCAAC